AATTAAAGCTGGGAGGGGGAAACATGCTTATGGGGAAGCAGATAAAACAGAATATCAGGAATAACAGAAGAAACTACATCTGATTTCTTCTAACACAGAATAAAGGAAAACAAACCACTTTCACTTATTTCAATTTCCTCTCATTGCAGGCGTGCAACACGATCCCATTTCCTTACATCACGTGGTAAGCGTACCACACGCTCTCATTACAATAATATCACGTGGTCGGCATGCCACACGTTCCCATTTCATAATAACTCGTGGTCGGCGTGCCACACGTTCCCATTTTATAATAACTCGTGGTCGGCGTGCCACACGTTCCCATTTCATAATAACTCGTGGTCGGTGTGCCACACGATCCCATTTCATAATACCTCGTGGTCGGCGTGCCACACGATCCCATTTCTTTCAACACAATACACAACATAATCCCGGCAAGGGAGAAAGATGTTATGATAACTATCCCGACAAGGGAGCAATGTAATACAATAAACTATCCCGGCAAGGGAGATCCAGCTATAACCAAACTCATTCAATTTCTACTTAACACAATTAAATCCACACTTAGTCTCAACAATTACTGGCTCAGTGTTAAAGATTTCCAACCAAGTCCTCATAGGAAACAATTAAGAATTCGATAATTTAGCAATTTAGGATTCACGGTCATGCTCGACACCAGTGTATAGATACTCGTCACCATGCCTATACACCGTACTCGACAAATAGCAATTAGCAACTAAGACTCTACTCCTATTCCCTCAAGCCAAAGTTAGACCAAACACTTACCTCAAATGCTCCAAACTCAACTCAAGCCTCTAGTATAGCTTTACCTTTCGAATTCACCACCAAACAGCTCGAATCTAGTCACAAATTACTTGAATGTATCAACAAATGCTAATCGAATCAATTTGAATGCATGAAAATGAATTTCCCAAAGTTTTACTCAAAATTTCCAAAACTCCCCTGGGCCCACGTGGTCAAAACCCGGTTACCCATTCCCCCCACGAGTTCATATCTATGATTTGTTTTGAAATCGGACCTCAAATTGAGGTCCAACTCCCCAATTTGAAGAAAACCTAGGTTCCACCCACCCATTTTCACCCATGAAAATCCTTGATTTTAAGATGAAAACATGTTTAATCATGTAAATGATTGAAGGGATTAAGTAAAAGTTGACTTACAAATGATTTGAGGAAGAAAGTTTTCTTGGAAAATCGCCTATGGAGTGTTTGAGTTTGAAAAAATAAAATGATTTGGGGAAGAAATAGGCGATTTTCCAAGTATGAAAAATGCAGGCCTCAGATGTGGGAAATGCGAACATGGGTTTGCAATTGCGAACCCAGCAGGTCTGGGAAATGCGAGGCTTTTGTTCGCATTTGCGAACACAGGCCAGCTGGGGAAGCTTCGCATTTGCGAACTTCTTGGTCGCATTTGCGACCTCTGGCCAACAGGAGCACCTTCGCATTTGCGAAGAAATTCCTCGCATTTGCGAGGAGGGTCAGACCTGGGCTAACTTCGCAATTGCGAGAAGCCTTCGCATTTGCGAATATCGCATTTGCGAACCAGGCTTCGCAAATGTGAAGCCTGCAGGCCTGAAGCACCTAATTGAAAATCTGCAACTCCAAAGCTCAAAAATGTAACTCGACACCTATCCAAAATTCACCCGAGCCCTCGGGGCTCCAAACCAAACATACACACAACCTCAAAAATATCATATGCACTTACTCGTGCGATCAAATCGCCAAAATAACATCATATACATCGATTCAAGCCCCAAACTCAAGATTTCTTCCAAATTTTCATAAAACACTAATTTTCCATTTTAAGTCCGAAACACGTCAAATGACGTCCGTTTTCAACCAAATTTTACAGAAAGCGCTTAAATCACATATAAGACTTGTACCGGACGTCTGAACCAAAATACGAGCCCGATACCATAGTCTTCTGATCAAATTTCCTTTCCATTTTCCTTAATTAATTTCAGAAAATAATTTCACACAAAAATTTATTTCTCGGGCTTGGGACCTCGGAATTCGATTCCGGGCATACGCCCAAGTCCCATATTTTTCTACGGACCTTCCGGGATCGTCCAATCACGAGTACGGGTCCATTTTTCCAAAATGTTGACCAAAGTCAACTTTATTCATATTAATATCAAAATTCATCAATTTTTTTATACAAAATTCATATTTAAGCTTCCCGGCTACGCGCCCGAACTGCGCACGCAAATCGAGGCGACTAAAAGCGAGGTTTTCAAGGCCTCGGAAGCACGGAATGAAAGAGAAAATAGGTGATGACCCTTTGGGTCGTCACATTTTGTCACATCCATCTCCACTAACACTCTTGCATATGATATCCTATCAACCTGTGTAGTACATGCATGTGCATATAAAGGTACTCCCAATCCACTACTGATCCTGCTCAGTGATCTATTACCCCAGCAATTCAAAGGTAAATTTGGATATTTCACCCACACTGGTATGGTCTATAGTACTTCTTTGTTTAAATCAAACTCAGCCAACCACACTTTAACTATAATTGGTTTATTATTCATCATGTGAGGCCCAGAGTACAACACCTCATCCCGATCTTCAATCGAATTGAACTTCACCAAAAAAAATACCCATCGTTATGGAAGTAAACTCTAGGTTTCGCTACAAAATTCCACATTGAAGCTATATACCTCTCCATTGCACCAATTGTTGGACTACCCCCCACAACATACAAAATTAAAGCTAATTTCCATTTTTGAGTTTCCTCATCTATCTCTTCTTTGCATAATTCAACTGTTATTTCACCATTTTTGATAATAGGTGGAATATAGCTCAGATCCATACCTTTAGCTGCATGAGTTGAACCTACAAATAGATTCGCCCATTGTTTTTGTCCTTTTCCAACTTCTTCACTAGATTTTGAAGCTAATTCCCCTACATCGCCTTGCATCTCTGTTTCCTTTGTAATTGCTCGAGTATTCTGCTCAATTGTCCCTTTTCCACTTGAATTAGTAACTGCATGTGCTATCACTGCTTCCGTATGAATTATACTAGCTTGTTCAGTTCTCATCACTGGAGTTTGTCCCCTAACCTTCATGTTCATCAATGCCGGCCACTGTTCCATCGGAGTTTTGCCCTGATCGCTTATCAAATCATCACTAGACTTTTGAACTGGAGTCTTCGATGTTGAAGCTTCCATTAGAGTATGCGTAGCGACGAGTTTCTTCGGCCTTCCCCTTCCCATGGCTATTTGGCGTACGTTAGTTCATGCACTCTAACGTGCGCTGAGAGAAAGAAAGAGAAGAAAGTTTTTCGGAAATCTATCACTTTTAATAGAGTTATAATGGTTAGTTTCAAGATAGGACATTAAAGAGAATATTATATTGGACATTCTCTGCACTTGTACTATTATGGTTTTTTAGGAACATGTTCCTTATAAATAGAAAGAGACACAATGATAGGGGACATGTGATATTCATTTGTAAAAATACACTTTGACTTTAAAGAGAGAATCGGATCTTATTGCAAGTATACAAACATCACCTTTTCACTAAGATTCTTGTCCACACTTTTCCACTGGATCCGAGAATAACTCAGATATTCGAAGGATCATCCATCACTCACCATTGTCAGAAAGAACATTCACTAGTTCCATCCTTTCTTGGGTAACTTATTTGTTCTATTTACTTGAGTATCATTTATTGTTATTCATCAATATTTAATGTTACATTATTTCCTTTGACTTCTTAAATATTGTTGTGTGTTACTGCTGCCATTAAAATATTCCTACATAGTCTTTATTGCACTTCTGGGAACTTCATCTTTGGGATATTATTATTAACTAAGATTAACGCTCATTTATATAAATTTAATTAGTTGAACCAAGATCTATATTTTTTGGTCGAATAGTCATGGCTTGAAATGACTCTTTCATAACGTTTTTTGCTGAAATTTTTCATCGTTCTAAATCTGTTGTGTTTGTCAGCTTGTAGAAATTTCAAATTAAACAAATTTGTGGCACTACTATAATCATATCGATAGAATTTGAACATTTTTTGGCAACTTCATGGATTTTAACTACAATGAGATTGTTGTGGCCATTTGTTGTTGAGGTCAGACAACACAGCTACGGACTTCTTGAAGATTAGTAGAGACAATAGGCTTGGACTGTGGTTGAGGTTTACAGGGAAGCCTAAAGAAAGTTTGGATTGGGCCAAGTAGAAATGTTGGTGGACAAATGCCTAGAGAAAAAAGGGAAATGTCAAATATATGATACTTTTGTTCCATTGTTGATTTTTTTATCCCGAGAACAAAAGTTTTGAAAAAATAGTCTAGTGTCAGATTTTAAAGTATGCTCGCCAGGATTCTAGTAACTGATGGTGATTGTTAGAATTTGTGGCAAAATCCTGATGATCACAAGATTTTCCCACAAATCTTGACGATTCGCCAAAATTTTTAGCATTGTGGCTGTGCTTCAAAATTAGGGCGATAGCCAGGATGGCTTCCCAAAATTTTGACCAGCATACTTCAAAATTCTGCTCGGAGGCTATTTTTTCGAGACTTGTTTTAACGGGATCAAAATTTAAACAATGGTCCTAAAATATCCATCTAGCACAATTTATTAGAGAAAAATTGTTCCCAAAAAAAATATAGTGAATAAAAGGACGACCGATATCTCGAGACTTTCAGTAATGACATTGAAAAGTGAAATCAGAAACAATAAAAAAACTAAAACATAAAAGAAAGAAGAAAGGGTAAGAAAATATTTTTCAGCTTTAAATATTTGACATTTTTCTTGCTTTACCACATTCCTCCTTTTCCACAAACTAAAAAATCAGTGAATTCTCATACTTTCTTCCTACTAGATTAAATATCACCAATTAGTTAAAAAAATTAAGATTAAATGTGATACGGGAGGTAAATATAATTTCAAAAAATATTGGGGACACATTCTCTATTAAGTAACAAATTGTGGGCAAATGTTTATATTCAAGAAATCAAATCATCCCCTTTCGTTCCCGAAATGGGTACCCTGCATTTGCAGCTCAAACACTGAAGTCCACCTTCAATCATTTAGGAAAAAGCAAAAAGATTTCTCTTTTCATACAAGGTTAGTTTCCCCTCAATGAAATCTCAACTGAGTAACTCAAGAAAATTCTTAAAATGAAGTGTCTAAAACATTTTCGTAAATTTTCAACCTTTCTTGATTTACCCAAAAATACCCACCAAAGAAAAAAATTGGACCCAATTCCATTGCCTCACAGAACAATTTCTGAACCAAAAGGCCAAGATCTTGATTTTGTTAATGTAGCTCATAGTCACCTTATACATTCTGATTGGTCTAAGCTTGAGAATTTAGCTTCTGGTTTAACCCCATTTAGAGTAAAGCACATTTTATTGAAAACTCAGAAAGATTATGTTTTGTCCCTTGAATTCTTCAATTGGGTTGAGGTTAAAAACCCTAATTCAAATACCCTTGAGAATCATTCCATTGTTCTTCATGTTCTTACTAAGAATAAGAAGTTTAAATCAGCTGAATCAATTTTGAGGAAGCTTCTTAAATCAGGTTGTGTTGAATTTCCTGCTAAATTATTTGAAGCTATACTGTTATCGTATCGAATGAGTGATTCTTCGCCGCGTGTTTTTGACTCATTGTTTAAGTGTCATGCTCATTTGAAGAAGTTTAGGAATGCTAGTGATACATTTTGTAGTATGAAGCAGTATGGTTTTGTTCCTACTGTTGAGTCTTGCAATGCTTTTATGAGCTCATTGCTTAGTTTGGATAGGACAGATGTTGTATTGGGTTTTTATAAGGAGATGCGTCGTTCAAGGATTTCGCCTAATGTTTATACCTTTAATATGGTTATGAGTGCTTTTTGCAAATTGGGAAAACTAGAAAAGGCTGTTGAGGTTTTAAGGGAAATGGAGAACATAAGCTTGAAACCGACTGTTGTGTCTTATAATACTTTGATTGCTGGACACTGTAACCGTGGCCTCTTGAGTGTTGCGTTGAAACTTAAGAGCGCGATGGAGAAGAATGGGGTATGTCCTGATAGTGTTACTTATAATGCTCTTATTCACGGTTTATGTAAGGAAGGGAAATTACATGAAGCGAACAAACTTTTTAGCGAGATGAAGAGAATCGGTGTGGCTCCTAATGTTGTCACGTATAATACATTGATAAATGCATATAGCCAGGTTGGTAATTCTGAAATGGGAAGTCGGCTTTTTGAGGAGATGGCGAACAATGGATTGAAGGGTGATATATTGACTTACAATGCATTGATTTTGGGACTGTCCAAAGAGGGAAAGACAAAGAAAGCTGCATTTTTGGTCAAAGAACTTGATAAGGCAAACTTGGTTCCTAATTCCTCTACTTTCTCTGCTTTGATTAGTGGACAGTGTGCAAGAAGGAATCCCGACCGTGCCTTTCAACTCTATAAAAGCATGGTCAGAGGTGGTTGTCACCCGAATAAGCCAACTTTGACTCTATTAACGTCCACCTTCGTCAAGAATGAGGATTATGATGGAGCATTGGAAGTCTTGAAAGAGATGTTAGAAAGATCTATTACCCCTGATTTGGGTATGTTAACCGAAATATGCAACTCACTTCTCATATGCGGCAGAGAAGGAACGATCATAAAACTATTACAAGAAATAGAAGCTAGACGCCTCATCCCTGAAGGTTTTGATAAAGCAACAATAATTAGTTCTATGGACTGAAGATAGAATGTAAAGTTTTTACAAGAAATAGAAGCTAGACACCTCATTGCCAAAGGTTTTGTTATGGCAACAATGATTAGTTCTACGAGAAGATAGAATGTAAGTTGTACAAAACTTTGTTCTCATTATTCCTAAGCATCTGTAACTTACCCTTAAATTCTAAAAAAAAAAAAATCAATTGCTTGGGTACCAATGTGCTTTTCCTTCATGAGCAAAATTGTTTGCCATATCAGATAATTGAAGCTTGTTTTTTCAAAGATTACTATCAGCTGTTAAATAATGCCGTACTTCTGAGATGTTACCTGGATAATGAACATCTTATGGAGAGTTGGGATATCTCTATGAGTCAATCTTGGTGTTTTCAAAGACATACAAAGTGTTAAGCTTCACAACTCATTTTATCTCCTGGCTCATGTCCAGAAAATATTTGATATTGACATATTGTTGTCTTCAGGGGCGGAGCTAGCAGAGTTATACTGGTTCGGCCGAAGCCAGTAGCTTTCGTTCAAATCCTGTATTTATCGTAAGAAATCCATTGAATATGTACAAATTACTAATTTAAAACCCAGTAACTTAAAAGAACTAGAATCTTGAACCCATGAGTTTCAAATCCTGGCTCTGCCTTTGGTTGTTCTTGATTTCCACTTGCATTATGTAGCAGCTTCCTTTTATTTCCTTTAGCAGTCTTGAATTGTAAATTTGTTATAGCAAACTGCAAATTTGGTTTCAGTATATTCAGGGGCGGATCTATATAGAGCCGAGGGGGTGCGCCGCCTCCCGCAGTCCTCGGTCGAAACTCAGTGTATATATCTATATATGTGGATGAAATATCTTAGATATAATAAAATGGCACCCTAATGAACAAAACTGTCACTGGGTGCCAATGGTAAAGTTTCTAAAATTTCTCTAGGAGGCGGGAGTTCGACTCTGGCCAGCACCTCAATATTTTTTTTTGGAACTTTGGTTAGTACATTTGGACAATTAATGGAGGTGTCAGATGTTCACTTATTTTGTTTTTATTTATTCTTTGTTTTACTTTATTAATTCTTTTTACCTTTTTATTTATTTAATGTTGTTTGACTTATTTATTGTGCTTTCCTTTGAGTACATTCAAATAACAAGGCTCCCTTATTTTTCCAAAATCGTTTCCCACCCAAAAGCCTCCCCAGCTACGGTGTTGCTGCCCAAACTGATTAGGGTAGTAATTTGCTAATTGAAAGATATTTCCAAGTGCTAGTAGATGAAAGAGGTGGCTGTCTTTTATTTTTTTCATGTAGAAACAACTTTATGATATTGGTATTACTGCTGGAAATTTTATGATGTGCGCTAAGTTGTCATAATTTTTTTTTCGTTTGTTATATTTGTCTGTACAAACTGAAATGTTGAATAACCCGAATCAAAATCCAAAGTTGATCAAAATGAACATTTACCCTTTTTGGACTGTATAAATAATAATACATCTACGTACAAAATAATATAGCACCCGCAACCTTCAAATCCTAGATCCGCCTCTGAGTATATTCCATTCCTTTACCATTCTTCTGCCAGCTTTTAACCAGATGAACTCTGAGCTTGACTCTCTTAGTCTATACAAGAACCAGGAAACATCTCCCATTCCCAGTATTCAGCATTTCTCTAGTATTTTGAGCCTCCTCCTATATTTTTCTTATCCTCAACTATTTGCGCATTTATAAATAGTGCAAATTTGATTACCACAACGTTTGTCAAGTGCAGGAGAATTTCGATCAAGACTTGCCTTCTGAACTCAAATTTGTTTATAAATCTTTTGAGGTGTTTTTGTAATTGGAGTATTTCAATATTACTCCCTCTGTTCTGTTTAAAGAGAATATTGCATATTTTTATGTTTCAATATGCTTTTAAAAGGGTTCAATATGCTTTTATAGTCGCAAAAATGTCATGATTTGCTTATGATCCCAAGTTTCAAAAAAAATTCTAGCTCCGTGGTTAGTCAAGCACCATTACATAAAATAAAGCGGATGGAGTAATTATTTTATTAAATATAACTGACTAAGGGGAAAAAGGGAGAAATTTAAAAATAGCCAGATTTACAACTGGTCATTCAAAAATAGCCCAATTTCAAAAGTAATCGAAATTTAGCCACTTTTTATGTAAAGATAAATCTGAGCGAAAACACTGTTCAAAACCCGGAAAAATACTCCAGTATATTATGCTGGAGTTCCAGCATAAGTATACTTGAACTCCAGCATATTATACTGGAGTTCCAGGATAGTATGCTGGAACTCCAGCATAATATGATGGAGTTCCAGCATAAGTACACTAGAACTCCAGCATAATATACTGGAGTTCCAGCAAGTATATTGGTCCAGTATAATATACTGGAGTTTGGAGCACCAGTGCTCCAGTCTCCAGTATATTATACTGGAGCCAGCAAAGTATACCGGTCCAGCATAATATGTTGGAGTTCATACACAAGCACACCGAACTTCAGTATATTATGCTGGACCGGTCTCTATTGTAGCAAAACGGTGGCTATTTTTCATTGACTTGGTAAACGCTGGCTATTTTTGATTGACCAGTCCGAAAACTGGCTATACCGTGCTATTTTTACGGGAAAAAAATGTACATTTGAGTCTTTACTACATTGTTATTTGTAAATATTTAATTAATACTCCTTTTTTTTTTTAACTGTAATCATGAAACTTAATGTATGATTTAGTACAAAATATTTGAATCTAAATAATTTTTGAGATCATCTCATGTATTTGGCCAAAATCTCATGTAAGTCAATTATAGCATGCAAGAACACCAAAAAATGATTAGAATTTCTTAACTTCCATTCAGTTATGTATTCAGGGTTTTTTTTTTAATGAGTAAAAATTTTCTTAATTTATTTAGAAACAAACTAAATAATCTATTTTATATCACATGAGTAATTAAGATACAGTCAAATTTTCTTTTAACAATAGCATGTTTCTTTGAATGCTTAGGTAGGGGTGTTCGTTGGTCGGTACGGTACGGTATTTAAACATTTCGGTTCGGTGTTTTCGGTATTCGATTTCTTAAAATGCTATATACCAATACCGTATCTAATTAAATTCGGTACGGTTCGGTTTTTCTCCTTTCGGTTTCGGTTTATTCGGTTCGGTAACTTCGTTATTCGGTTTGAATACTAACTAGTGCATAGAGTCAAAATTTTTAATTAAAGCACTTAAAAGTACAAAACTAAAAACGTTTGTTGACAAAGTTTTGTCCAAAACCAGCAAATATCAACCCAGAGAGAGAAAATTATACATAAAGGAATAAATTTGGTAATTAGAAATGTCTTGTTACTTACTTAGAGTTAATTGATGAACTTATAAAATAAAGGAAAGTAAAAATTTTGATTTTTTATATTTATGTTATTATCCATAATATGTGTATTGTGTAATATAATACATATTTCGGTACGGTATCGGTATTTTATTTTCAAATACCAAATACCATACCTAATACCAAATTATTTTTAAAACTTAAACCAAATACCATACCGAATACCAAAATTCGAATACCAAATATCAATTTTTTTGATTTCGGTACGGTAATTCGGTATTTACCAAATTATGCACAGCCCTATGCTTAGGCCCATGCTTTACTAGTTAACTCATAAGAGTTGATCTTGATTTCTATCTCTATATGCGAGGATACAATAAAATTTGAAAGATATTGAAGGAGAGAAAGTTATCAAATTTCTAAAAATGGAAATTCTCAAATAATTTGTTTGGATGGTTGTGAGTTGTTGTATTGTATCGTATTGTTACTTTAGGTACAATATTTGTTTTGATTGTTACTTAAATTTTATTATATTTTATGGTTAAATCCGTTGTTACGTAATGACGATGTTTACCTCGAAAAATGTAAGTAACAATTAAATATGATTTGTGGTTTTAAAGATATGTGATTTATTCCAATACTAGTGAATGTACGAATAATATTAAGTTTAAGTAAGAAGAATTGATGAACCAAACCAGTGTTGTTAGAGCAATAAGGGCCTCGAGCTCGATTATCTCAGGGGCCTCAAGGTGAGCTAAGAACAATGAAGTATGAACAATAAAGCTGAAGAACAATTGTTGAGCACGGTAAACAAGAAAAGTAGAGTGAAATGTTCTATTGTAGAGAATGGATGTCTTTACAAATGATAGAGGTCCCCTTTATATAGGAGGGGAAAACCCTTATTACAGTACATTTTCAATTACGGTAAAAAATTCTATTGGTACAGTTGTATAACGACCTAGTATGGACTTGTACTATTTCGTGCAAATCTTATCCTATTATTCATGCCCCGATCCACGTGTCCTTAAGAAATTTCCGCTCTTTCTTGAGTGTCTTCGAGATTGTACTGCCCTCGAGACAGATCATGATGGGTCCTCGATTTGCTTCTCGTGGTGCGCTCATCAAGGCCTGGCTTGATTCTTACTTCGAGCTTCCAGAACTCGGACTCGGAGTGTAATCCAACCTTAGAAATCGAGCTCTCCGATTTCTACCGTATACAGATAGTCCCCGCGTTTCTTAGAATAAGATGATAAGAAACGATTTGAACCTCGATTTTCCTGAGCCACTCGTGACGACGTCACACCCGTGACGTAGGCACTTGAAGTGATCGGAAATGTCATGTCAGCGTGCTTCCCCAAAACGTCAAATACGCTTCAGCCTTTGTCGGCCACTTGCGCCGCCGATTCCGTCGCCGGCTTTCTATAAATAAGAGGTTACTTGGCCGAACAAAAACTACACTTATTCCTTCTTCATCTACTTTTAGTCCTTTCCCTTCTCTACCTCTTCCTCTAATCACCTATCTCCATGGTTCAAATCTGTGGCCACAAGTCACATGGCAGCGACTTTACCAGTTACACCAAGGCTTCCTTTTTCAAAGCTTCCACTCGAGACAACGAGAGAAAGGCACCGAATCCCTCCCGTATCAGAAGATATGCGAACTTTACATTGCTGCTCATCTCTCTTAACTTCAACGTGGTGTGGCGCTTCATTCCTTTTGCTTTCCATGGAATGAGGTGGAACTATTATCTACTAACTTTTGCATCCCACACTGGAACAGAGTTCCAAGGATGAACACTCTTGGATTGTTGCTCGTGCATCTTGCAACCCCTTTTGGTTTTTTTGTTCTTTCTTAATGTATTGTGGCCCAAAACTTCAACGGAATGTTCAGTCTCGGTTGCTGGAGATATAATTACATCTATCGAGGGCCTTCTTCCCTATATAAACGTTTCCAAAGATTTGAAATGGTGCCCCCGAGAAGAGGATTTCCGAAGACGATGCTCTCGAGGACGTGGTTTTAAAAGTGGATTAGGTTCTTTGGCTTTGCTTTTTGCTTCTTTGTTCCTGTGTAAGTATCCTTTGTGGGTGCCGTAGCTATACTTTGTAAACGTTCCTTGGAAGTATAAAAGGATCCTTGTATAACTTTCGGTCCATGCTGAATTTTATTCTATCTTTATTCATAAAAGACTCGATTATATGGTTTCAATGGTTAGCCCAAATATCGAGCTCAGGACATAATAAACCCTTAGGTTTTTAATTGATCAATATAATACCCCTCGAGGTTCTTCGTTAATCCTCGAACTGAGCTTAAATGTGAACTCGGAACATCGTGAATCCCGAGCCCGAGTTAGGCAAGAGCGAGATCTCGAAATGAAGTTAATCCTTAGATCTTTTTGTAGTCCCCGAGTGAGAAATTTCTCTAACTCGGGTAGCCCTTGGGCCTTGTAGTATT